TAGTTGGATCACAGTGGATTTAATGAGGATGTGTGATAAGATGTCCATAAAATCTATCAGACCACAGGTTACTACCATGTGGAGGTGGGGTGTCAGACTCTCTGAGCGAAGGACGGCTGAGGTTTATCATCCAGTGTTAGGTACTTAGACCTCATCATGCAGGTACAGTGCATGTTTATCCATCAGCTGTCACTGACAAGAGCTTTGCAAAGCCTTTACTGCAGGACACATGAACACATTCCTCTGATGGCTTGCAGTGCGTTTAGCAGTGTTTCCCTCCATGTGTAACATGGGCAGCATGAGAGCCTGGACGGCAGTGACGCGCTCCAGTGTTAGTCAGTGTGGTGACTCACTCTGAGGCTGGTCGGCTTCTTGTTGGAAACAAGATGAATTCTGCCTTTGTTCGCTCGCTCTGCAGGGGTTTCTCTGTTTTTCTGGCTTTTGCTTTATGAACTGAATTGAACTGAAAAGCTGTTGCCAAGCGCTCGCAATTAAACTACACAGGAACACACACACACGCAGACAGTGTCAATGTCCTTACCAATGTGATAGATGTCCTCTTTCTCACATAGACACACAGTTTGTGAATGTGAGCTTGTTTTTTCTCTCATTTACACAAATAACACTGTTGTTGTTATGAATGCGATTTCTCTCTCTGACCAAAATCCACAATCTTTCCTGCATGTAACACAACAAACCCCTCATTGTCAGTGCGCCCAGAGAGAATATCTTTATTCACTGATTTAGCTGTTTTATGCTCACATTTATTTCTGTTTCTTTTGTTTGTATACAGCTTTAACTGAAAATGAAATAGGGGCTTGTACTGTATGTACTAAACATGTTTTACTATTGTCGGACCCCGCCTCTCACCCGATGTCAGCTGGGATTGGCTCCAGCCCCCCTGCGATCCCGTTCAGGACCAAGCGGTATAGATAATGGATGGCTGGATAGATGTTGTACTGCAGTATCCTGATGGGATTATCACTGACCTGAGAGGAATTCGGGAGGGTACAGATTCAGAATGGGAATGAAACGGCAGTGAGAAGGGGTCAAAACAGAATTAGGACACGATGAACACCTGAGAGGGTAGGATGAAACCGGATCAGGAATAAACGAAATGGGATTGTCATGGAATTTGTTGTTGGGATTCAGATCACATTGAAATGGGATTAGGACCGGATCAGACTCAAGATTGGATAGCGATCTTAACACAAGATCAGATAAGACTGGGATGGGAATCAGGATTGGGACAGGATCAGAGAGGGCCTGCGAAAAGGTTGGTTTAGGACTGAGATGGGATTGAGACAGGGTTGGGAGAGGATCAGCAGCAGGAATGAGGATTGGGATTAAAGCAGGGTGGGCTGGAATTCAAGTTGGGATGAGATCAAAACAGGACTGGAACAGGGTTGTGCTGAGTTTGGAATGGGATTAAAAAGGGATTGGAAAGGAACAAGGACATAATTGTGACAACTGGATCGGACTGGGATCTGGGTGGGACTACCAGAGATTCAGGACAATATTGGTACAGAAGTGGACTGGTGACTGGGACAGGAGCACGGTGGAAGTTGGGATGGGACAAGTGATTGGAATATCACTGCCACATCCAGTTGTAGGGGAGGCGACTGTGGTGCGGTGGGTAGAGCAGTCATCTCCAAGGTTGAAGGTTCAAATCTCAGTGCTGGCAGTCCACGTGTCAAAGGGTCCTTGGGCAAGACACTGAACACCCCCGTTGCCCCCAATGGTTAGAGCCATTGGTTGAGGTGGCGCCGCAGATGGCTGCCATCGGTTCTGTACCGGAAACAAATTTCTTGTGTGTAAGATGCTTGGCCAGTAAAGGTGATTATCTTATCTGATTGGACAGGATTAGCCACTGATGGGATT